AGATTACTAACAATGGTGACAACCAGGTACTTGACTTTAGTCATTCTAGACATGGTTTTTCAGCTAAGGGTAGCCCTGTCCGTTGGGAAGGAATGAGAAAGACACTCTGCTCACTTGGATGTGATAAGACTGAGACCGGATTGATTAGAAAACTGTTGGAACAGATTTCGAGTGAGGGAATCGAATCCCAAATATGAAATTTTCTGACACAAAACGACATTATCAGCATACTTTTGGATGTGTGCAGGGGGTGGGACTGAAAAAGCAGACGGAATGGGCTTTATGGTCACGAAGATCTGCTGTTCAGTCATGGAAACCGATAACTCAAGCCCTGGGATTTGAAGTGGCGAACCACATGCGGCTCTAGTGGGTGAGAGGTGGAATTGAACGGGACGACAGCAAAGCAGCCTACCAAAGTTGGGTGGCGGCAGCGGGGCTTGAACCTCGAACCAGTGTCCAAAGCAAGTCGGGGACAGCGGCAAAACTACTTTTATCATATACATACCCGGTGTTGCAAAAGAGTTATTTGTGACGAAAATATATTTCTCGGGCACAAGTGTATGAATGAACTGACAAAAGATTACCGGATACGCATGCCTGACGAGCGGCAAGAACCGACAGAGCGGTTGTGTGCTTCCACAGAAACTTTGTCAAGCTATTCATATACTACTTATTATGAGGTATATATGTCATATCTTCTCGTGTAATGCTGTATATTTAAAAAAATCAGGGCATGAGACAGAGAATACAAAATAAAAACCGCATTAGATTGTTCCCAACAGTAGAATTTGCAGATAGAAAAAGTAACATAGGGATCCTGTAGGATTTAAGGTACAAAGTGTTTCCATACGCTCAGGAAAAATCATGTTCGTATCAGCTGCGGTTTCAACAATAAGAAAACGTAACAAACTATCAAATAAACAAACTCCTTACTTGGCCCAATCTGGCAATTCTCCTGAGGATGAGGCATAGGAAGAATTACGTCTCTCCGGTAGGTCAGAGTCGCGAAACCACGCCTCCAGGTCTGAATAACTGGAATGATGGACACTGTTGGATGCAGGGTGACGCGGTGGACCGAGGCGACTTTGAACTGGATATGTTGTCGACGATGACTGAGCAGTATTTAATAAATTTCCAGCGGTGTTTGCATGAGGCATTGCGGGGCGATAATTGCGGGCGCTCGAAGTCTCCTCCGACCAAGGTTGACCAGCGGCTTCGGTAGCAATCTGCAGAGAAAGAAATTCAGAGAAGTATAAAGAATCAAGTATAAACAACATTGGAAGTTGAATACAATCAAGCCTGAGCACCATCAATGACACCAAAAATTTTGAGCCTGAATTAAGTGACCAACGATAACAGAGTGATTTTATTGCGTGCAAGTATGCTGGTGTTAGAGCGACAGATTGCTCATTCCCTAACCCATATGGTTTCCCCGCCAAAACAACTTTGACGAACTTCATGGACGGTCATCTTTCCGCTCCCTGGTGATTTATGTCATCAAATTAGTTGATGTTCCTTTCAGCCTCAGAACGAATCCCAGTTATCTTACTTTATTCAATAGTCTCCCCAATAACGTTGTCAAGTCAGAGAATTCCCAAAAACTCAATGTTAAATCTTTTAGTCAAAAGGAAAAGGATGTTTTACACAATCAAAAATAGTTTGCTCCTAGTATACTCTTAGTGAAAACGTTTCCCCAAAAGTACCACGCATACAGTAATGGTAGCAATAGTCGTAGTAGTAGCCGTAGTACATGCATACATCTGAGTTATTAATGCATTTGAACAACGTCAATGGGTGCAGATTGATAGTCGCATGTGAAGCCAAGGCAACTGTCGAGAAATTGGAGAAGTGGTAGCAATAAATCTACGTTCGCGTTTCAATACAGAAGCCAGGTCAAGCATACAAGCCAGGATACATATGCTGAGATAAGATGTGATCACCACGAGACGACAATTCTGGAAACCGGATATGGAACTATTTTAATCTCTATCAACCAACATTGAGTACCAAGTTGTAATTTCCGAGATTCGAACTCTACCACAGCCTCGTCGTTTGGTGTTGGGTGTGGCTCAACTTAACGTCAAGTCCATCCCAGCGAACCTTGAGCGTTCTGATAATATTGGTTCACCGGGTTTGTTTCCCACTCGCCTCGCATCCACCTCACAGATTGACATTTACTTTGGACATAGTGCGAGCTGGGCAACGATCAGGGAATTTCACTTCGGCGTATTTCACTGCACAATGATGCCGAGGGCCGCTGGTGACCAATAAACAACGAACAAAAGCCACAGATAGAATCAATTGCGGACGATAACGCCAAACGATAGATCACGACGTAGCGGCTCGATAGCAGGTTGGGGATTGCGAATCGGCAAAATGAATGATACTTATAAGAGAGGAGATCAAATACAGATGCCTCAACTGCAAATGATGAATGATAAATAAATGACAAAGGATAAATAAAGTGATGAAATTGATTGAGATAAAAGTTCGGGAAAAAATAAAGAATCGTCTGGTGCAGGGCAAAAGATTCCAAATGCAGCGAGGCTGGTGAGCATTTTTAAGTACCTCCAAGTGACGAGGGAATGAATACATCATTAAATTATCACAGTAGAGTCCAGAACGGTGAAACAAACTGGGAAAAAATAGAACATAAACACAAAATTGCTTCCTCGAAAGATGAAGGAGACGGGAGATCACACACCGCCGAAAACCAAGCAATTTCCAGTTCCACGAGCTAACATATGAGGAAGGTTGGCGTGAACAAACTCGCAGACGGTGAAATGAGCACGTTCAATGTTGCAGGCAGGACGCAGAAGTAGTTGAAGTAACATCATGAACAGCCAAGGGTGGCATCCCTAAAAAGACCTGAATAGGGTTTGAAGATGCACGCAATAAGTTACCGATGGAAAGGATAAACTTCAAAATATGTAGAGAACACAGAGTCAGGATTTGAAAGTACTCCAATTACTTGGATGGAGGTGATGCAGTCAAAGTGAAAGCTTGAGAGGAGCATGACACGGAGTGAGTAAACATGGAAAACTTCCATTTCATCTGTTCACCGAGCTTGGTAATTGGCCTGCAAACGTTTCATCACCAGCTGATTTGCAACACTTTGTCAATGGAAAACTTCAGAAGACTGTTTTCGATAGATCAAGCGATATCTGAGAAATTCTTTGTGGTGAATGACCAGGTGATTGATCAGGTATTCAATGGTACGAAATTTGTTTATACGAGTGTTAGATGAAGGAGAGATGAGTCGAAACGAAGTGAGCAATGGTCACCGGGCCAAGCGGACATGAAGATCATGGATTGGAGAAGGCAGGGTTGAATGTATAAATTATATAGATGATGCGCGCTTGTTTTACAGCAACTGAACCAACGGATGTAGAATACTGATCACCAGGGACACCTCAGCTTCACGACAAATAAATATGGTACTGTTAGAAGATATAAAACATCATTCAGGAACATTCAATTCCACCCAAGTCAGTAGGAGAATTAACAAATAAGTATTGATCGATCAACGTATCGCGCATAGTACTAAAGACCCTTCGAAAGACTGTAAAGCTGTTTCAGTCTCGTCGAGAACCGTCAGAATCGCACACTCAATGAGTTTGAGACAACTTTAAAACCAGGATTATGATTACATGTTAATAATAGGCTACCGTAGCAACTACGGTGGTTGGTTTTATGTAACTGCAATATGGTTTAGCAACCACTCCATTAAAAAACTGGATCACTGCCGACTCTAAGACAAGGATCTGATTAGGTCCGAAAGTTGGATAGGTTAAGTCTGATTTTCTGGCCACAGCCACTTCAGTGGAACGGATGTATTTGTCGATTAAAATTACTCATTGTTTAAGTTTAGGTGACTTGCTTATATGTGAAAATAAATCAACTTTGGAAGTATCTATATGAGGAAGCCTGAAAATATGATACAAAGTGGAATATACGGTGCCGAACGGTCGTATTTAACAGTCAAACATCTGCACGAAGTCAACATATAAAGAACCAAAAAAACAAAGCTTGCTATAACTTCATTTTGTACCAGACACCGACCATACCCGTAGCAAATCGAAGGAGATAGACACTGAGAGCAAACCCTATAATTCCAAACGGAAACAATGAAGGCTGCCCATTCTCTTTTGACATCACAGTGAAAGCTCTTATTGACCATTGACACATCCACAGAAATCGCTGCTCATGCAACTAAGCACGCATAAACTGATAGTTAGGGAACGCGCTATTATCGGCCGTTTGTGGTCCCAGTGACCCTCTTCAATTTGCGTATAAGCTATTTCTTCACAAAGATGCAGTCCACTTGTGAATCTTCCGACGGTTCCCAAATCCCGTTTGTTGCGTCTTCCCTGATAATTCATCCTTAGCTTTCGATTCCACCCCAAAATATCTTTCTCCTCGAACGTTACAGCTATTTCATAGCTCCAGCACTTTATTATTTTGGCAGAAAGCCTGTTTTTTGAGGGATTGAGAGAGCCGAAAAGGCAAACGAGACTGTTTCGAAATTGATAGCCACTAATTCGAGAACACTTCATTGTAATACGCTTTCTCCATAGTTATTTTTGACATTCATTAATGACTTACTCTTTTTCCCTCTAACCAGTATATTCAAGTATGCCGCTGATGTGGTCCTATACCAAGCTGTTTTAAATCAGTTTGATATAACATCATTTACTGGTAGTTCATCACAAGTGCACATGTTTTCAGACCATTCTGGCTTTCACATGAATAGTTCTAAATGCTTCGAATGCACTTATGGTCTTACGCAATGAGTATTCACTAAAACCCTCAATTATTACCCCCCCCCCCTCCACCCAGTACCCACACACCGGGACACCAAGAAAAACCTGAGAGTCAGGATGGAGAGTAATCCTCGGTGGTATGTAAACCTGTGCTGGGAAACTAAGTCACTCATCCTTTCACATAGACAAGACGAGGCAATTTAGAGTCAAGCATTCAACTACGTATTCTTGTGTTTATTAGTGCCCTTTTTTGTCATACTTTACTGCACTGTTAACCACAAAAAGTGGATAGCAAAAACAAGATTTGGCACACGACTGAAAGATATCATGAGTGGGCGCAAAGTACAGCTTGCACAAAAAAGGGGATTCACGAAAGCTAACCTTGTCGCGAAGAAGCGCTGCAGCACGGCTGTTATACTTCTCCTGCAAAGTCCACGACGGATTACAATCCGGTTGACTTTCAAAGAACTCTCGCGCAGGTTTGTTCCCACCCACACGCATTTTCTCCAGCTCCAACTCCTTCCATTTATCCATGTTAATGGAACGTACAAAGCTGAAAGTCACACGCAATAAGCATTTATTTCAGAAGGTTGAATTTACTTAAACTAAAGTGGCGAATAGGTCATTCTTTTCGCAAGCAGAAGTGCATAGCTTTGGTGCAAGCTTATATGAGACCTAGTGGTCGAAATTAATCTGGTTGGAAACCGATGTTTTTGACAGTTTATGATGCCACCAGTCAAGATACAAAAACTTGGAACATGCGAAAACATTCCTATCAAGAGAAGCACTAAGCTCTACACAACATCACAAGTGGCTTAGCAATAGTTTTGTCAATCCAAATGTGCTCGTACCCAGTGGAGAGATTGAATAAGTTCAAAAAATCACCAGTCTGAATTTACTAGCCGAAAATTAACTCATGCCAAAAGATCGCTCGTGGATTTTTCGTATCCTCATTTTACAAAATGGAGTATAGCAGCCGATATATGCTCTGACCAAGTAACGAGCCCATAACCGCGATCGGCTTTTCAGTTCTACACAGAACACCATGCAGCCCTCGACGGACGGCCAGGTGATGCTCAAATGGGTAAGCTGATCAGACGATGATCAGAACATGGGGCCAGTGGCCGCTTTACGAGCAACAGGAAT